ATCTTTATATTTATAAAATTTATTTTTATTATTTATTTTATATTTCTTAAACTTACTTAAAAAAATATTAAAGTTATTATTATAACCTTTATATTTATATTATATTAAGTAGCTTTTTTTTGCTAAATATTACTTATTAGCTAAATATTTAATTAACTAGCATCCCTTCTTTTTATAAACATAATATTTTTTTTAAGGTTATTCTCCTCCTTCTTTATAAGCATTATTACTTTAAGCTTTATAGCTAATATTATAAGATTTTAGCTATTTAAAACTTAAATAGCTTAAGTTTAATTAACTAAATCTTTAATTTCTTTAAAATACCTAAAACTATAATTATTATCCTTTCCTTAGCTTTTAGTTATTATATTTATAATTAATATAATATTAATTTAAAACTTTATTTATAATATAAATTATAATTATGCAATTAAGCTATGTTTTTATTATAAATCTTAAATTTAAAAATAACTCTTTATATAATTAAGCTAGCTTAAAAAAAGCTATTTTTAACTTAAAAACTCTTTTATAAGCTTTAATTATTATTATTCTTAAATTATCTTTCTTAATATAATTTTAACCTTAATACTTATTAATAAAGTTATAGCTTATTAAGCATTAAATATAAAACCTTATATAAGTCTTTATTTAAGTTTTATATTTTTATTTTTATAAATATTATTATTATTTAATTTATATAATAATATTAATAATTAAGGTTTATATTAAAATGCATTTTAATTTTAAGGTATATTATTATAAATATATAAATTTAATTTTTAAAATAAAAATAGTAAGCTTTAGCTTAATCTTTAAGTATTTAAGGAAAAATTATATAAAATTAATTTAGCTAAATTTTAATATAATAATAAATATTAAAAAATATTTTTATTTTATTATTTAGTAAATTATATAAGTCCTTAATATATTTATAAAAATTATTAAAAATTTTTATAAATTATATTAATTTTGCTAAATTTAAGTATTTATTAAGAATATATTATAAGGAAAAAGTTTTATATAAATTATATTTTTTATTTAGCAAAGGTATTCTTAGGGTAGCTTAAGGTTATGCTAAGTATAATATATATTTTTAATATAAGCTTTATCTTTATCTCTTTATTAATAATAATAAGCCCTGTTATCCATATTAGTTTTTAATAAATTACATTACTACGTTTAGGTTTTATAATTGCGCATCCAAAGCTGGCAACGGTAATAAAAGTTATCTTAAGGACTATTCTCTTAGTAATTATTATTATTTAAAGCTTGCTTATAATGCTTATAAGGGCTATTGTTGTGGGCTAGCCCCAAAGGGGCTGCAGGCTGGCTAGCGCCTTCTTCCATAAGCTGCAAAAATAGCAACCAATTAAGCCAAAAGGTATGTAATAATTTAAGCTCCCTTGAATTACCTAGCCACACTATATAAGGCTTGGGCTTTCAGCCTAAGCCCATTACATAGCCCCTTCCTCTAGGGCTCCCTCCTTATATAGTGGTATAATTACCCCTAAGGCTTACTTGCGATATCGCCTTTTAAGCTAGGGATCTTCTTTATGAAAGGAGTGCCCGTATTTACGGTAAACGTAACTTAAACCCTCAACTCTAAAGCTTGGATTATTTATTATAGGCTGGCCCTAAAGGGGCTGCAGGCTGGCTAACGCCTTCTTCCATAAGCTACAAAAGCAGCAACCAATTAAGCCAAAAGGTATGTAATAATCCAAGCTCCCTTAGATTACCTAGCCACACTATATAAGGCTTGGGCTTCCAGCCCAAGCCCATCACAGCTATGCTTATAATTACTATTTTTAAAGTTATATATAATATTTATTTATACTTAATTTTAGGGCTAATAAAGCATTATAAAGCTTATTATTAATTTATTTTAATCTTTCCTTAGCTTAAGCTATAATAATTAATTATAATGCTATAAGTTAATTATTATATTTTATGTAAATGCTTTGCATTTAAAGAAAGACTTTTAAATATTATTAATAAGGATTTAATAATGCTTTAAATATTACTTATATTTATATTATATAATTCTTATAATAAGTAATAAAAAAATTATTATTATAAAGGTTTTATTATATATAACTTGCTAAAATATTTATTAAATAAGTAATTAAATATTTTATTAATACTTCTTATATAAGGGCCGTAAATTATAATTTTAAGCTAATATATTTATAATAAGCTAAATTAATTAAAGTTTAAGCAAGCATCTTATTAATTATATACCCTTTAATAAAAGCTAATAGCTTTTTAATATTATTAATTATGCTTATAAGTTTTTATAATAAATATTATAAAAAATAAAATTAATAAAATAAAGAAATATTAATAAAATAAATAATATTTAAAAATAAGTTAATAATAATAATTTAATAATAAGTAAGTTATAATTATTAAAAGGAAAAAGTTATTAATTCCTTTAAGCTTTAAAAGCTAAGGCTTTCTTTTATTATTAAGTCTTTTTATATTAATTAAAAGCATAATTTATAACTTATACTTACTTATAATATAACATTATATTAGCTTTAATAATTATAATAATTATAAGCTTTATTCATTTAATAATTATAATAATTATAAACTTTATTTATTAATAAAATAAAGCTTTATTAAGTTTTGCTAAGTCTTAAAAAAGATTTAAAAATAAGTTTATTTTTAATAAAGTCTTATATATAATAAATATATATCTTTTAAATAGCAATAAATATATATATAAATATTATAAAGAATGCTACTTAATTTATTTAATCTTTATAATATTTGCTTAGGGAGTTTAATAATATAAAGAGGCCTAAAAAAGTAATTATTATTATATAATATTTATTAATAAAGAGGATATAATTTTTAAGTTAAGGAAATTTTTATAAGGTTGCTTCTTTTACCTTATTAATTTATAATGCTTATAATTATTAATTAGTATTAATAGATTTCTTATATATATAATAATTATATAAGAAGTAATTATATATTAATGTTATTTTATCTAAGTTCTAAAAGGTTACATGCCCCGGAGGGGATAACTAAAGTAGCCTTCTAAGTGCAAGGGTCGTACTTGCCAACAGCGAGTATTCCAAGCAAGAGGGGCTTATATAAAACGACGAGTCGTTGACGTTCTCGTCAGATGCGTCCCTCCAAACATGGAGGAACCCCCTCAGGCGGCCAATACCTGATACGTCGTAACCACGGTTGAGGAGCTTCGAAATGTCTGCTCTGGAACGACCATGGTCTTGTGAACGAGGGGCCTTTCCAGTAAACACAGTGCTGTACTTCCCAGGCTGCCGGGTGATGCAGACATCAGATGAACTTAGAACTCGAAGCTGCCCCTGAAGCAACCCGGCTGCCCTTTCTGTCGGTGACCCCTTTACCCCATCACCGTAAACCGTATCTGGGCATCTTGACCATGGTGATCCACTTGGGTACGCTGCCCCCTCAACTTTCAGGGACAACGCAAGCAATGGCTCTATCTGCAACTCTGGCGTGAAAGTTGGCAAGATCTTGGCCAAGAAACATAAAGGTTTATGGGGACCGAGGCGGGTTTAACGTTTCTTTCCGAGCTGATCGATTCGACAATGATATTGTCTCGGAGTCTTGGCATTGCCCTTAATTCCCTGAGGTGGTGATACGAGGGTTATCCCTGAAACCCTGCTCCGAGAGCACATGTCCGTTTTTGGAAAGAAAAATCCTCAGGCACAGACCAGTTCTGCTAAAGTTAGATCACTTCCAGAAGCTGGTCTTGAGCCAACCACATGGTTTTGCCGCATACCAACGAGAGATTTCCCCGAAGTCTGGAGAAGCTGCTGAGATGGAGAATATCTCGTGGCTTCTCCATGTCCGGGCCTTTTTTTTTTTTTTTTTTTTTTTTTTTTTTTTTTTTTTTTTTTTTTTTTTTTTGGTTGGCCATGGGGCCATGGGCTGCATGTCTATATTGCAGTGGTATAATTGGTTCATGACTGTGAGATGCGTCTCGGCCGATGCTCGAGAGACACGCATCAGGCAAGTCGACGGAGCAGATTCTGGCAGCCCCTCTGCACACACAGTACGATGACTCCTTTCCAACGTGCTACAGGTGTGCTCACAGCCTCGCCACGACGCCCGCTGCCAGGTGCAGAGTGGGTGCAGGGCACGACGAAAAAGGCAAGAGGGCGATTTATTGGAATCGTGAAACGTCAGCAGCCCCCTGTGCTCCCGCAATTGAAGGGCCGTCGGCTGGGGGCGCCTAATGCGAAAGCGCGTCGAGATCGACGATAGGTGGAGAAGGCCCGTTGCGGCTCCAGCCTGTTCGACCAACGGCGTGACGCCGACAGACGGGCAGCGTCCAGGATGTGCTGCAGGGATTGGAACATCTCCGTCTGGACCACACACATCTCGGCTCGACGTGCACCTGGTGCTCCTGGGGCCCGGAAGCAGTTGACTACTGCAGGACAGCCCGGGCCTGGAGCCTCCTCGACCAGCCATGTCCACATCAGCTCATTTGCGGCGTCAAGCACTCGATGGTGTTTCGAAACAATCTTCACCATCGACTGCCCCGTATTCGCCGAACCGGCCCTGGAGGGCAGTCTCCTCCGTCTTGACGGTGGACCATGGGCGTCTAGGGCTGCATGTAACGCCAGCTCGAGTGGGCTGGGCTTGTCGACTGGAGTTGACTGGGCTGGGACTCGTCCCTGATGCCGTGGCTCGACTCTTCCTCATCGTGATGGCCACAGCCGCCCGGGTCCTATAAGGGCAACGGAGCCCCCCAGCTTTCCGGGCACCATCTCGGCTCTGGCATCTTCGTCGACAGTGTCTTCTTTTCACATTCTCTTTTGCCTCACCCACAAACCCGGCGGGTTGTTCATTCTTTCTACCGGTGCTAGTTCACCCAATCCGTTCTTTTCCAGACCTTCACTCACCCCTCGATCGGGATAGAAACCGACTCTCCTCGATCCTTTTTGACGCTCACTGGTCACTGATCCATCCAACAAGACCAAGACAAGAACGACTCATCCATCATGCGTTTCCAATCCGCTGGGGCCTTTGCCTCGCTCCTGCTCTTCTCCCGCGTCGCCGTCGGAGCTGCCCTTGCAGAGCCAGCAAATGCCACCCTCCCAATTGAAGATGACGATACTTGTGACCCGGATCTCGAGGAGACTGTGACTGCCACAGTGTTGCCTATTTCATCTGCGGCAGCGGTCCCTACGCCAACCGGTGTTGCGTCCAACGCCGAGAGCGCTCCTCCTGCTCCCATCGCCAACGGCACGGTGCCCACGTCCGCCCAAGAGGAGCTCACCACTCTCACCGTGCTGTCGACCCAGGTCCGAACCGTCATCAGCTGTGCCCCCACAGTCACCAACTGCCCGGCCGACTCTTCGTCCCTCTCGAACCTGGCCTCCACAGCCCCCGAGCAGGTGTCTACCGTGCTCGTGACGGATGTTGTGCAGCTCGCCACGACAATCTGCCCCGTGACAGCCGCCGAGTCGGTCTCTTCCAGCGTTATTTCTGTTGCTGCCACAGGCGGCATCACCGGTACGACCATCACGCAATCCGCGAGCCTCCCCGCTTCCCTCCCAACTGATGCCCCGAGCCCCTCGGACACTGGGGCCGGTGCTGGTCCTCAGCCGTCCGGAGAGGCCGCCACCTCGTCCGCAATTTCTGCAGGTATCCCACCCGAGTCTGCTGCCGTCCCACCCGAGTCTGCTGCTGAGGTCCCATCCGGCTCTGCCATTCCTCCTCAAGAAAGCTCTTCGCCTGAGACAGGTGCTTCCCAGGCACCGCCAGCACCCACGGGGGCTGTTCCTCAGCCTCCTTCCAACAGCACTGGAGTGAGGCCCTTCCCCGTCGGCAACTCATCCATCCCTTCCGTTCAGGAGGTGACTTCGACCGTGTACGCCACCAACCTGTACACGGTTACGTCTTGCGCCGCCAGCATCACCAACTGCCCTGCCGGAAGCTCTGTTGCCACTGAGATCGTCCCTGTGTCGACCACCGTTCTGAAAACCACGCTCGCTTCATCCGAGATTGCTTCCCTCTCGTCGGTCGCAGCTATCACAGGTGCCCCTGAGACCACTCCGGCCCCTGGCGGCGAGCAGACCACCCTGACTGTCCAGGTCACACACGTAAGTTGCCACATTAACCGGTTGCTCTGGGTATGTATAGGAGCATTTGCTAACCTGCTTATCTTCTCCAGCTCCACACCGTCATTTCTTGCGCTCCTACCGTCACAAACTGCCCCGCGGCCACCGCCACCAAGGAGATCTCCGAAGCCATCTCCTCCCACGGAAGCTCTGCCGTTCAGCCAGTTATTGTGACCAGCATTGTCGGTGAAACAACCACTGTGTGCCCCGTTACCGAGGCCTCTGCCGTGTCATCACAGGTCGGCGCCAGCCTGAGCTCTGCTGTGGTGACCACCACTGGTAAGAATACTCCCCAACAATGTCTCTCGCCAGCGTACTAATGTTCTTTCAAGTCGGCGGCTCCGCCTCTTTCTTCATCCCCGGTGCCTCCAGCGTCCAGACCGCCGTTGTATCCCAGACATCTGTGCTGACCACGGCCACGCCCGTCGTTTCATTCCTCACGGTGACCCTCGGCGATGGCGTTGAGAGCACTTCCACCAGGGTCGTTGAGCAGCCTCAAACCGTCACGACTATCGTCCCACAGGCATCGGCTTCCTCTTCTGTTGAGGCCGTCGCTGGGTCCTCGTCCACCGCTGTTATCGTATCTGTGTCCCCAGTCGTTTCTGTGATCACCATTACCCTGAGCGATGGCTTCGAGAGGACCTCAACCAGCTCTTTGCAAGTCGCTTCGACCATTACAACGGTTGTGCCTGCTCCTACAACCCCAGCAGCTGAGACTCCCGCGGCTGAAACCCCGGCCCAAGAAACCCCGGCCCAAGAGACAGTTCACACCACGGTTCTCAGCACAAGCATTGTGCGAGTCCCAAGCGTGGTTACTGTCACAGTTTCGGGCATTGCTCAGGAGTCCAGCACCGTCATCGAGTCCACCAGCGTCCACACTTCGATTGTGGAGCCCTCGCCCAGCGCCCCAGCCTCGGAGGTTGTGTCAAACCTCGTTTCCACCATCTACGAGACGGTCACCTCGCAGATCCCCGTCGAGACGATCCTCACCGTCACCCTGGGCGACCAGGTCCTCACGTCCACCATCTCGACGGCGGCCGCCGTGCAGACCGCCGAGACCACCGCCCCGCCCCAGGTCTCAACCGTCTATGTCACCGTGGGCTCCGGCTCCGAGACCAGCGTCATGACGAGCACCTTCACGGCCAGCGAGGTCGTCGCCAAGGAGACCCAGACCCTGACCCTGACGGGCAGCGCCGGCGTCGTCTCCACCTACACCCTGACCATGAGCCAGGCCACCACCGTCACCCAGGAGGCCCCCAAGCCCACCAACCAGGGCAACGTCGCCAGCGCCTGCGTGCCGTCCACCGTCACCCTCGTCAGTGTGTCGACGCTCTGTGCTCGAAGCGGCAACGCTTGTGCTACGGCTACGAACCTGCCCCTGGCCAGGTTCTAAGCGAGGGGAGCATAAGTAAGAAGGATATGCGGAGTACCATGTAGATAGTCGATTTTGCAGGTGTTTCAAGAGAGAAAAGTGTTCTTTTTTAGCGATTTGGGTCACGAGGTACAGTGCCAGGCTCGTTGGTGTTTTTACCTTGGCACTGTCCTCATCCGCTGTATATATGTAGTTGAAATTGAACAGAATGTTGAGACCTTTACGCACAGTTACGGTTGTGAATTTCACACATGCACACTCGTGACAAACTCTGGAGATATTCCTCAATTGCATATTCCGAGACTACCGCGTATGCTAGATAAGTTCCAGTGGGTGGTTTAACTATGTACGTTGCGCGGTGATGAGTGCCCATTCCAAATCTTTTCCTTGTCCTCGTTCAACTTTCTGGGCTTGTCATGGAAAATGAGATGATCCTGCTTTCCCCAGGTGAACCAGCGGCACCGGTCCAAGTTCTCCAGCACAGCCTCGCGGTGCAGCGGGTACAGCCGCTTCCCAGCTTTGGAGTCGACCACAAACCTCTCGATCTTCACGTCCTCCTCGTCCTGCACGCAGTCTTGGAAGTCAACCACGTAGTCGCTCTCAGAGAACTGCGGCTCAATACGAGCATATGGTGAGGGGTCGTGGTGCTCATTGCAAGCGTCCAAGAACATGCGCATGTTGTCTTTGCGCTTCAATTCGTCACCGACGACGAGATATCGGGCCAAAGCAGCATCGGACAAGAAAGATGGCATGTTGTCCGCGCGCGGAGCTGCGCATGCGACGTCGTGGAATACTGCAATCGATGTCTGGGGATCGGTCCGGAGGAAACGCAGCGAACGTGCAAGATCCACAGCGGGGATGTCAGTGGTCATCAGGAGACGGAGGAAGCGGGACTCCTTCCCAGTTATCGAGCACCAGGGCTGAGACGACAGACGGGTGAGCAGCTCAAGCGCAACCTCGCAGTTTGCAAAAAGGACGTGGAGGTCGACATCTGCCAGGATCGTTCTGTGTCCGTTCTCGGGGCGGTTGACGCGTATCGGGCCTTCTAGCGGGAACATGCAGTTGAAGAACAGTCCAGGCCGGGCAGGCAGGTACGACTTGGTCTCCGCCTCCGTCCCACCAAGCTTGCTTGACCCCAGGGGCCGCTCGCCCTGCATCAGGAACACGGCCTCCGCCGCTTGAAGCATGGGCACGTCCACATCATTGAGACGAGGCATGTTTTCTCGGCCCGAGTGGGGAACGCAATGCTGCAAAGGGTAGGCTGCCGCTTTGTCGTCCAGGGGACAGGGATCGAACGTACCTCCCATGAGAGTAACGACATCCGCGATGTCTTCATCAAAAGGTGGAGTGTGTTGATGACACGACGGAGGGATCCCGGGGACACATCAGCCGGCTTTGGCTCCCTGGTATGACTTCTTCAGGCGCGGCGTGATGACTATCGTTGTGCATTTAAACAAGGAAATCCAGTCAATGACTGGTTCGTTGCTGCATTCATGTTAGAAACCGAGTCAAAAACAAGAGGGAGGGTCTGTCCTACGCGAGAAACTGTGGTCCTCCCCTTCTCACTCGAGTGTGACGGGTTGGATCCGCACCATCGTACTCCTCAATCGTCGCGTCTCGGGGTTGACGGGCACGCCAGCCGGCCGCAAAAGCACCGGTTCCCCAGATCGCGCGTTGTAAACAGTCGAGGCAATCGATCGGGAGGTCCTCCTCTCCGTCGAGTACGATGAAGTGAGACACATTCTGCAGGGCTTCTTCTGCGGCTGCTGACAGATTCTCGAGGACCAACTTCTTATCCTCAGACAACTTGCTGTTGTTCAGCACGTCGAGGATGTATCCCGGTGTCTTGGGGGTCAATGGGCTTGGGGGCGGCATCCTCGATCACTTCGTTCCGAAGAGCTTGTTCAAGGAACCAAAGTGGTTTGTTGGTCGCCAATGCGACCGGTCCGGTACTCATGTTCAATTACGCAGCGTTGTATAGACTCTCCAGGGCCGATGGAACATCTGCATTCCGAGTGTTTGGTCCAGTCCGAAACGCGGCGTGGCTTCCGATCGGACTTCAGGTGCACGTGGAGGAACGGAAGAGTTGTCGACTCGACGCACTTATCCAAGAGCTCGCGGGGCTGTAACTTCGCCTTGGGTTCCTCTGAGCCCTGCAGACCGTGCCTCTCGCCTGGATCAAATCGCCAGACGGAGCCGAACATTTTAGTCGCACTGAACCCGAGCGAGGTCATTGCATGAAGGAAATCTTGCCATCGAAGTTCGGCGGGCTTTTTCTTTTCTTTCGGAACAAAAGAGAGACCATCATGGAAGACTTGCCATGCTCGCTTGCTGATGCTGATACTCGGCTTTTTTGGCTGTGTAGTGTCATCCTCAGCTTCGTTTGGCCGTGGGTCTTCAATGTTTTCGGATTCCGGTACTGGCGCCTTGCGCTTCTTCTTTTTGGACTTCTTCGACGGTCGAGCCACTTCCGTTGCTGGCGCTTTCTCCTCGTGACCGAGATTGAGGTTGACCGCAGCGAGACGACCGACCAGTGGAGCCGTCTCGGCATCTCCCCAATCTTTCGTCCTCTTCAGGTCCTCTCGTCTTGGCCACTGGGACTGCCAGGCATCAAAGCAGTCCTCTGAGCAGTGCTTCTTGACATACTTGTCAAGCTCGTCCCAGAACTTATCGAGAGCCAATTCCGGTCTCTGCATGGTCATGCTCCTCGACTTATTCCGCGGCTTGTCTACCGGATACGGCAGCGTGTCCAGAGTGTGGTGGGCGGTATGACCAGGGCGAAAAGACGTCTCGTCGTTCTCAGGGTCGAACAGCTTCTCGAGCTCATTGGCAATCTTAAACAAGTCTGAAAGGGCGCGCGTCTTGTGTCAATCGACTCGATTTCCTGGTCTGCCACGGACATATGATGAAATATGGCTGGTGCGTAAGCACGGCACTGAACCCACAGATCAGTGTGATGGCAGAGTTTGGGCGGCGATTATCTCATCTGTACAAACTGAGCGCCAGTTGTGCCTGGCAAATAGACGACAGGAATGCGAGAACACTTACTCGAGTCTGCTGTCCTCCAATTAACAAGCCTTCTTGAACCTCTGTTCAAGATTGAGCAAGCGCAAAGGTATGTAGGAGCTTAGTGGAGGTAGGCGACTCTCCTGTCGCATAAAACCATCGTACTGCTCTCTGCGGAAAGTTGCAAGGAGTTGAAGAAAGTCGTAGGGAATAAGGATGGAGGGAGAGACCAGCGAGGTGGATGGGTGGGAAGAGCTGTAGAGGTAGAAGTAGAGGAAGAGGGGAACGTCAAGATTGCAGATGTGTTGTGCGTTGAAGTGTGTTGTGCGTTGAAGTGGGAAGAAAGTCGAAGGAAGAGGTCGAGGTTGAGGGTTTAAATAGACGAAGGAGGCGAGTGTCTGAAGGGCGCCGCTCGGCTCGTCCGAACATTGGAAAGTACCAGTGAATGAAGACAAGTGAACGATCCTGCCAGCAGCCAATAGAATCAGCTAGGCCATCTGATAAACTGAGAGAATGGGATGAGCAACGCCAGCCCATTGGACACGAATAGGGAACCTGCAAGCAGCCAATAGCACCAGCTAAGCCATCCGGTCATCGTTGAAGATGGGACGAGCAGTGCCAGCTCATTGGTCCAGGAGGAAGGGAAACCCATTCATTCAATGCAAATCGACTGTGTCAGCCAGCAAGACTCAACGCATATTCTACCACTGTGCTCAGAACTAACCAACAGAACACGGTGGAACAACATCGAGAGCTTTTTCTCTCTAGACCAGGCATTGGGTGTTTCGGTGGTTCAAGCGAGAAGCTGCTGCCACTGCTCGAGACAAGCCCCCAATCACAAATTAGGATGATGGGTCGGTTCTGCATCTTGTGGTAGCACCAAACCTTATAATTCAATACGGCTCTCCTAAAAAAAAATATATATACCTTCATTTTGAAGCGATTGGGCGGGTTTTAGGGGTCCTCAAGCAGTGTATGGCAGCGATATACCTGAAGGAGCGCACGAGGATGTTGAGTGCCGCTGATACTGGTGAGCATCGAAAGGTTTTGTGACACAGTAGTGCTTCTGAAGAGAGCTCGTCGGAATTCTCATAATTTTTGGCTTCATGAATGTCTGCACACATCAATGATACGTCAAGATTGCTGCCACAGCATTGCTGAGGTTGAGGCTGCTTGGCAAAGAGGTGAGCTGTGCACCCAAGTTGATGATGATGGAGGCTCAGGCCTCCAGGTACACGTGTGGTCATCACCTGAAAATAGTTGGTTATGGACGTTCGAGAGACGATAATGTATCATTTTATCTCTCCGGATATCGAACCCGTCTGTCTGTCTGTCTGTCTGTCTATGAACTTGTTTTTGTCTATCAATGTCAAAACGCAACCAAATTCCGTGACCCTCGAGTGACGGTTGGTTATTTTCCGCGTTGCCGTGCTTGCCGCACCAGAATATCATCTCCATCCTGTCCCCTGGCCAATTTCGATCTTAAATTTACCAGCCAGTGTAGTTGGATGTGCTGTCATCGGCTCCTGGGGTATTGACGTTGCCGAAGCCAGAGTTGGGACCCCGCGACGGCGGAGGTTGATCACACTTGGTGGGGGTGTGACCGAACTTCTTGCACCTCCTGCACTGGATCTTGCTGTAATCTATCTCCTGCCGTGGTTTCTTGCAGTCACTGATCTTGTGGCCAACCTCATGGCAGTTGTAGCACGTAATCTGCTCTCGCTTCGGGCGATCCTTGCGTAGTTGACCGGACTCCCCACTACCATGATCCTTAATGCTGTTCTCACCGGAGGTGCCAAACCTGTGAGAAGGGTTCGAGGATGTCTTCTCGCCAGACATTTGAGGGTCGTCAGAGCCGTTCCAAGAGCTGTCAGCGTTAGCAGCCGCTTTGAGCACGGGCTGCTGAGCCTCTCTCACGAAAGCAGTCAAGCGTTCCCGAAGAGTTATTGGCTTCGTGGTGGCCTCGGTCTCCGATGAAGGTGTATCAGACTTCTGGTTCAGGTCGGAGTCAATACTCGACTTTACGACAGGCTCCTTGGACTTCGATGCTTGGTAATCTTTCAGCGCAACGATGGCGTCGTGTACCTGCGCAAACAGCCTCACTTCCCATTCGTCACCGACGTCGACAGTGAACGGCCCAAGGGCGGGCTCTGCCACATCTGCAACTGTCTCCTTAATTGCCCGTAGACCCCAATGACCATGATATCGGCTTCCTTGATGTCGCGGCTGGCAAGCTTCTTGACCACATAGACGGCCGCCTTGGTTTGGAGAGGGCTGTGACTCGACTTGCCGATGTACTCGCACGCAGAGTTAGGGACATGGATAAACATGGGCAAAATGCGGTCTGCTGGAGACAACTCAAGACCCGCAAAATCTGCGACGAAGGCCTCTTCGATTCGCTGGGCGTCAGGGTGGTCGTCAGGGTGCTGACTGGGGGCAGACTCGATGGACTTGAAATCACTGTAGAAGATCTCGTAGACCGGTTCGAACTGACCGTCAATGGCTCGGTGCTGCGTATTCAATAGAAAGGTTGGGTATCCAGCAGTCTTGATCATGTCAAGCGTCGACGTGGCCAAGAACTCCCGGAAAATGTGCTTCTTGTAGTCGCGCACGTAAGGACCGAACTGCGCACTGTCGCCGGAAATAATCAAGGGCTGGCCGATGCCGCGCCATCCGGAGAAGATTTGGGGGGAGGATGTCGCGCCGGCCTCCTCATTCTGGCAGAGATCCGCTTGCTCCACGAACCTCTTGCAAGGGTCTAATGTCGCTGCCGCATTTGTTCAGACAAGAACGTTAACAAGAGGAAAAATGGATTCAACGGTTTTCTCGAGGGCATGCTGTGCAGTCAAAGCCGACTGCGCTGCCTTGCTGGGTTGATCCTGTCGCATCGTTGAGTTGGCGTCCTCCCAAGTCATATCGCCAGCAATAAAGTGGCGCAATTTCTGAAAATCTTCGCTATCTTCCAACTTGATTTTAGTGGCCAACTCGGTTAATCCAGGTTTCGAGAAGGCGGGGAGGCTGTGGGGACCGGCACCAAGGAGCTGAAGCAGCAGCTCGCAGAGGGTATTTGGGCGCTCAGGATCAGGGCCACACATGTACCATGATTTGACAATGCGCACGAGCTCAATGATCTCCTTGTGATGGCTGACAAACACACGAAGCACCAATGGGAGCTGCTTCTGGTGTCCAGAAGAGTCAAGGCTCAGCTCCTTGTTTATGTTGGTGACTGCTTCTCGCAGGCGGTTGGAGAGATTGCCGGTTAGGGCAGCATTCTGTGCAGCAATGACGACGATCTTGATCTTTTCGGACAGCAGACAAAGGAATGCGTCAATGGCAGCTGTCACTGTGGTCTTCCCAGCTCCTGGGAACGCTTCGATGCTGAGGATGCCATCTGGAAGAGCCCTGATGGAGGATTTTATGAGCTCGCTGTACGAGCCAAGCTTGCCAATTGTATTCGAGAGGATCGTGGCGAACAGATCACCCTCAGCTTGGTGCCTGTGAGTTCCACAACATCGACCTCATTGAAGGGGTAAGGAGGCAATGACTCCACGATTCGACGGTTGGGACCAAGGTAGTAATGCCGAGCTCCACGTCCACACAACATGTCTCTGGTAGACCTCTTCTGCATTTCGCGGATGTGGTGTTCCTCATAACCTGAATTCGCTTCATGCTCGCCGGGTTGTAACTTGGTTTCGTCAAGGTGCTCGCTGAAGCTCGCAATGTGGCGTTTGGTCTGCGATGTCTCGTCTTTGAATTTGAGCCGGAGGTCCAACTAAGTCTCTCCATTGCTCGCAACCAGGTCTGACAACTCCGCTGCACCACCAACCTCTTCTGCGCCAACTATTCTGGGGTACACTTCTGCAAAGATGTCACAGCTTGAGGGTAAATCGACTTCAGCTGGAAGAGCGACGAGAATTTTGGCGGGAAATGGGTTACGCTCTTCGAATTTCGGCTTCTTGTCGTTCGACTTGGGATCCCGAGGAATCGGCCCTTTCGTGAGGATATGGACCTCCTGGCCGTCTTTGTTGACCGCATCGAGTAACTGACGGAATTCATCACCCTTCTCATGATTTTTGATTAGCACACATTCAACACTTAATGATATTATGTAGTCTGTAAACCATGGCAGCGGCACCAGTACTCACCCGGGGCAGTTCAAAGCCAGCAAAGAGTCTTCCATCGTTTCCACGAAAAAGTATGGCTCGACAGGTCTTGGTTGCCAACTTCTCAATGTCCTGCTGCATGGGGAGCGTATCTAAACCCATCCCCAGCAATATGGCGTTGTGGATGTGGGAGTAGTCAGTGACACGCTGCGGGATGATTGGCGCTTCGTCGGGTCCCAGCCAGCAATCATCACTGATGCTTTCCAGGTGAGAGCGGTCGTAGTTAGGCCTGTGTATAACATTCAGTCTTCGATCGAGAAGGGCAGGAGTTGAACAAGGACTAGGACTTACATCGCCTTGATGCCACAGGGTCGCTCCAGGTCGATAGGGGAAGCTGCCATTCCATGGCTTATAGCATTCATCATGCGTATTTAGTGGCTCCTTGGAATATACGCGAAGATGCAAGGCGAGGCCAGTATCTTTGAAATGGTGACGCCACCATCGAAGGGCTCATCATTGTGGACAAGGCCGTAGTTGGTGCCCTTGGCGACAGCTGGAGGATAGGTCATCAAGTCGAGCTTAGGCTCGTTCTCAAGCTCGTTCTTAGGCTCGTCCAAAGGCTTGTCATCCCAGGAAATCCAAAGAGCGACCAGATCGGCACCTTGTTTTCTTATGTTAGTATTTCCAGAAGTCGGTCGGAAGGTACAGAGTGAGAACATACCCTTCTTGTTGGCGTCAATAATTGACTGGGGCACTGCCTCCGACGGAAGAGTTTCAAGCTCCTCGTCAGCAGCGGATCCCGCCAATTTGAAGGCTATAACCGTGGCTCCCTTGAGTGGGCCGACAAACAACAATTTGTAGCTGTTAGCGGCCTTGACATCAGCCTGAACCTCATAGTGAGTGGCGGTGCTACAAGGACCGTGGAGCTCGCCATGCTCAGCAATGCATTCGAATCCAACGCGGGGGTTGTGACCGTTGTGACCATAGCCAGACTGGTTGACAAACACACTCGTCTTGACGTTTTTGGGGAAGAGATACTCATCGCCAGCCTTGAGCTGCCTGCCTCCAAGCATCATGACGTTGTCGTCATCAGTCATGATGCCTATGATTGCGGGGGCATTGGTCTTGTTTTTGACCTTGCCCATTGCTCGGGAGACCCTAGACATGCATGCTGGGAACAGTGGCGCAAGAGGGCTGGAGTATGCGCAAATAGCCAGAAGTGAGGTTGATGGTCAATTGCGAGAGTGACAGTCGCGTGCGGCGATCAAACTATGTGTAGACGGTCAGGTAAATGGCAAAGTAGAAGGGATGGCTGGAGGTTGACGGTGGCCGAAAAGGTAGTCCCAGGCAGAAATGTAGTGGAGGAGGAGGAAAAGTGGGTCAAGGTTTTCTGTGATTTGCGTTTGGTGAACTGCGAAAAACAACAAACTCAATTTGTTTACTGGACGATAACTGAAGTTGGTGCCCGGCAATGCAGGGCTTGGTTGGCCTTTGAGAAAAAAAGAGCATGCAGTGCATGCTCCCTAGCAAACAGACGATGACTTAACTGGTTTCCATGCCTGGCAATGCAGGGCTGGCTTGGCTTTCCGAGAACAAACAAAAAACATAACGACCAGAACGGCCAACGGTTGTGCTCGCAGTGCGAGGTTGGGGCGGTTGGAAGAAGAGATCCAAGAAGACTTGCCAACAGACGAGACAGTTCGAGTTTAAATTAATTTGGGACACCTGGGTGGACCCACTTTTCTCTTGAAGCTAAGGGACCAAGGCTTCCTCTCATTGCTATTCTCAAGGCAAACAATAGCAATCTGCAGAGGACAGCAATTGGATCTCCAGGCGGTTATCACCTGCTAGCATTGCTAGCTGCTACTCGCCTCGGATCGTCATTGACGGCCAGTCTGACCAGATCGACTCTCCTACAGCACATACACATTCATCTTGAGGAGTTTTATGCTGCAAGAGCTTCCAAGCAGTGTGTACGACAGCAGTCGGGGGCGACGGTCTCCCGTTGCCAAGACATGACGACGAAGTCACTGGCAAGCAGACGTGTCTACTGTTGGATCAACTACACATACAGAAAGAAAAAGTACTCCTGTGGTGAGCTACTTTGTAGAAAGAACGGTGACGGTGTATAGGCCAGCCTAGTATGGTGCCTGTAAGGAGTGTGCCCTGCTCAACGTCAATGCTGGGACACCATTACTACACATGGTGGCCTACCAGTAATTGTGCTTCACCCAGCTTGGTGAGAGACAGCTTGGAGCTCCACTAGAACAGGTTTTGTTTGACTTTCCGCCTAACCACCGATGTCAACAAACGCGAAGTCTGTCTAGAACAAACACTCACGCGACAACACCTACACAACTCCCGATTGCTACCCGCTTCAGACTTTTCCCCGTCAGCTTCTCTTACTTCTGAGATCAATTCGCATCGTCACACCCAGAGTTCACCAAGCTCATAGATGTTGGCACCGCCAGCGCACAAATCACTTTTCAGGTACGTCGACGCCAATCACAGCATCGAGAAGACGTTCGACTTGGATCATCGAGGCGGATTCACCGTCTACAAAGTCAGCTCTACCGGATGCTGGAGTCTTCTGCACGCCTTGGTTGCTGCGCTCACCATTCAGCACCCTTCTTATGAATTCTCCGTTTTGGATCTTTACTACTACTACAAGAAAGCTGTAGATGATGAGCCAGTCAATCGGGTGTCCAGCGCCGGTTTTGTCGCTACTGTCAAGCCTGCGGCAGACAACTGCACGTTCGACTGGGACATCACTGCCCAGGCGATGGACTCTGATATGGAGTACCACGGATTTGGCCCATACACATTCATTCTGGTACAACCTCCAAGCAACAAGACGACCCCGCCCGCCGTCTTGTGTCTTCACCGTCCCATGCGCTTTGAAAGACAGGGCAGTTACACAGATGAAGCGCGTATGGATCGTGTACACGGAAAATGAGGACCAGGTCAGACCGCAATTCAACGTGGTACTTAAACACAACACGAAACTGTCGCCACATCTCGTGAACTCTGTCAACAAGTTGGGGTCCCAGCAAACCTTAGAGTACAGTAACAAGATTCAATTGCTGGAGGCTGACCTGATGGACCGAAATGTTTCAATGACATCGTTGGCCTTGGAAGAGGTCCAGGAGCTATTGCACGAGACAGGGGCCGCCCGGCAAAAGCACATGAGCAGGCCAGGTTTTGGATCAAAAGCTCCAGCCGGCTTTCCCAGAGGCCCAACGACAGAAAGCGGGTACTCACGCTATCGACGCCATCGCTGCTCTCTTTCTTCAACCCAGAGACTGGAAACTCGCGGAGGAAGTGTCGGAGTTCGAGTCCGATGGGCCATATTTCTCTCGATCTCCCGTACTTAATGATAGACACTGGCTCATAGTTTGCATTTGCAAACGAAGCCTCCGATTCAGATGAGTCCACTGGCTCCCTTTTTGCAAGCCACTTAGGCAGGGCCTCTGAAACCGTGGCAGGCGACAAGAACCGGGTGGACGATGACTCTAGCGGATTAGACCCGGACAATGATCACATTATCATGAGCGACTCCCCGATCGTGCTCAGTCCATACTCGAAGGCTTTGGACGAGCACAAGGGCAACGACAATATGCTTTCCAAGCCATTCCAGGAACCCGTGGCCGAGATTCCCAACCCAGCCGGAGACAACATGAAGAAGACCAAGAAGGACAAAGAGAAGAAGAGCAAGAAGAGCAAGAAGGACAAGAAGGACAAGAAAAAGAGCAGGAAGGGAAAGAAGGACAAGAAGAGAGACAAGGAAGACGAGCAAGATGCATCTCGGTCAACCTCGAAGAGGCCCAGAACGGAAAGCAGCCACGAGGAGCACATGTCTCCGCCAGACCCGAAGAAGGCCAAGTCTCATCACAATGACGAAGAGAACACCATCCTGCCAGCCCAAGATGATTCGAGAGGCAGTGCCCCATCCATCCCTCGCGATGACCCACTCGCTGGCCTCGTATGACCTCGATCAAACCTCCTCGCGTTAGTGGGCGAGGATCGTCGTAGTCGGGAGGCAGTTGCGTGCCGCAAGTCCAAGGCCCTTGGATTGGAAGACCTCAAGTGGCCACCAAAGGGCTGGAAAAAGGAATAACTCATTCACCGCCATCTTTTGGAGCAAGATTCATGCAATTTGCATTGGGTTACTGGGCAACCCGTCCGCCTGCATGGCCTGACGATCAAGCTGCCCTCCTCCAAGGACCACAAAACCCATCATGACCACTACCCACCCCATCTCCTTGCATCTCTCATCGGGATTTCTTGACAGCTCGCCGCCTGCATGGCCTGGCGACGGAAAGTTTCCCCATGGAATACACAGTTCGTAGTTTCGCAAATCAATTACTATTCTGCCCCAATAGGATTTAGATGAGATCATCCGAAAAGCTTTCCTCCTCTGTTGCAGTGGTGAAAGGTCTCGAGGAAGTGTGCCGGGACAGGCATACTGGACCAAGTGGTGTGAGATGCTGTAATCACTCCTCTGTTCAAGAACAATTTCGCGCTCATAGATCTCAATAAGCCGTGATACCATATATCCTCTCTCCTACGCCCTGCTGCCTGTGGGACGGCCGACTCCATATGCTCCCACATCAGAAAGGACGAGACTCCCGCCGCAACCCAAAGACTCAGCTACTCGCCACGCAGACGGGCCCACAGTTTTGTACGTCCAGGAGAGCAACACAATGAAAGGTCATGATTCTGATAAACAGCAGAGCATTCAGCAAAGGAAGGCACCTCAGTTGGAAGAAGAGTGCCGATCAGCGGAGTGACCATTCACGGCCGCCTTCGTATCAAAGGCCTGGGTTCAATCCCCAGGCACTTTTTTCTACACCCGCTTGCTCCCCTTCCCTTCCCGCTGTCCAGAGTAAGACATTACAGAGCTATGGGTGTGTGGTCTCGTTTTTAATCTATACATATATGCTTCTTAACGTCCCCGGCCCAGATTCCGACACCCCCCCGATTCCGGCCGCCCTTTCCACACATACACCCACTTTTCAACCCCCTCTTATTAAATCTAAGTAAAATCTAAAAAGTTTATTCCCAATTTATTATATATAATTTTATCTAAAAACTTATATGAAAATATTATAAAAATTCGTTTTTAAGCATAATAATTTTAAATATATTTTTAAAATTAATAAATTTAAAATATTAATAAATCCTAATACTTTATATGATAACATTAACAATTTTCTTTTTATATATTTTATATTATATCTTTTACTTATAAAATTAAGTTATTAAAACTTCCTTATATAAGTTTTATATAAAGAAATTATAAAAGTATTATTTTTTATTTAAAGAAAATAATAGTAATAAATTAAAAACTTATATTTAAAACTTATATATTTATAATATATAAATATATTTTATTTAAAAGTATATTATTTTTAATTATTTTAAAAATGCTTATATATATTTTATTATTAAATGTTAATATTTTATATATAAAGTTTAATATATTTATATTATAAACTTTAAAAATATTTTTAAAAACATAATAATATAATTTACCACTAAGTAGCTGATTTTTATGATATTACTTAATTTTTATTAATTTTAATACCTATTTAGTGCAAGGAACCCACGGCCTAAGTGCAAGGGGTTGCAACGAAGTAGCCGCGATCAGCATAACGCTTAGCGCAAGTATAGCAGAAATAAACGTTATCCAAAACGCAACCCTAGGCAGCAATAATAGCCAAAAGACAGCTAATAATCACGGCAAACTTATCAAGAATACGCTTTAATATCTTAAAGGTTTAAGCATAAGTTAAGATATAATTAAGCTTAATTATATTTATAAACATTGCCTTAAAAGCCTTAAAAAAAATCGCAGTAAAGTTATTAATAACGCTCTTTATAATAGCTAAGGTAATACCCTTAAAGCTAAATTTCTTAAGGGTTGTGGTATTAATGCAGCAACGCTTTTAAGAAAACGCTAAAACTATTTAAAAATCATTATTATTATTATTAATTCCATTAAGAAACTTAGCAAGGTTATTAAAGATTATGAAGTAAGGGCGGAAATATTAATTTAAGGCCTTAACCATATCCTTAATATTATTTAATATAATAAAAATCGCGAAAAAGTTGCAAAGATAATAATAAGGGTATAAAGCTAAGAAATATTAAAAAGAGGCTGCAAAGGGGTTGCAATGCCGCTATAAAGCACTTAAATACTTTATAAGGTCGCTAATAATTAAAAACTTACCTAAAAAATAATATATTATTAAAGAAAGAAAAAAAAGAAATAAATAAGGGGTTGCAATTATTTATACTTCTTAACTTAAATTCTATTACTTATATAAATAGTTTTTTACTACCTTCTTATTTAAGAAATAATAAATAGATAAGTTAAGAACTTTATGAAAAAGTTATAAGGCGAAAGGAAAAATTTCCCTTTTTAAGGATTTTTAAGTATAAGTATAATGCTTATATTACTTAATATAACGTGGATAAATAGCTGCGTTATTATGGAAAGGTCGCGGCATAAGAGTTTTTTCTAGCTATTTAGCATAGTTTTTCCCTATAAGTAAATTAATAAAGGGACTGCATATTAAATAATTTTTAGCTAGCAATAGCTTAAAATAACGTAAATAAATTATTATTATTATTATTATTATTATTATTTAATGCAAGGAAATTAATTAAATTTAATATTAATTAATGTTAATTACTTTTAATTCCCTATTTTTAATTAATTTTATAAATTTAAAATAAATAATGTAAGTATAATATTAATTTAAAATAGCTAACTTTTAATAAAAAATATATATTTAATATTAATTAAAGCTAATTATATTATTAAAAATGCAATATATTATAAATTATTTAAATATATATATTAATATTAATTATTATTAATAAGGTTAAAAAAACTATAATTTATTTAAAATTTCATTAACTAAAGTTTTTTTTTTAAAATTCTTATATTATACTTAGTTTTACTATAATTACTACATTATTATTTAATTGGTTTGCCGCAAATCACCCCCTTAATATTATTATTATGGCAGTGCATTATTTGAAATTTATAGCAAATAGGTATATATAAGTTCATAGCCCCCTTCCTTTTTTTTATTTAAAAAAGAATTAACCTTTCTTTGTATTATTTTTTAAATAGCTTGTTTTTTAAGAAATATTTTCCTTTTTATTCTTTGCAAGCCTTATTTTCCTTTTAATTTACTTAATAAAAACTCTTTAATATAAATAACCATTTTTAAACTTATAAATAAAATATAAAGTTACTTATTATACTTTATTTTATTAATAAATAATTATAAGAAATTTCTTTAAATAATTAAAATATTTATATAATAATTATACTTAAGGTTATTATAAGTGGGTATATAAGTAAAGGACCCTATTAACTGCAAGCATTTATTAAAACTTTAAGCCTTATACCCCTTAAGCATAAAACCCATGACTTGCAATTTTAATAAGACTTCTTCTTTATATAAAAGGTAGCGCCGTCTTAATTTAAATTAACATATTAAAGATAGCTGCCTTGTTTTTATATTCCCTTTTATAATAATTATTAAATTTATTATTAAGTACTTAAATTATAAAATAAGAGTTTTTTTATTATAAAACTTTTTTATATTATTAAATAAATTAAATAATTAATTAAAACTTAATTATATATTAAAAAATTTATTTTTAAATAAGTAAAAGTTTTAATTAATTATTTATAACTTAAATAATTTATTAATTTTAAGATTTTAAATTTAAAAAATAAAGTTTAAATATATTTTAATAATTTTTAATTAATTATAAATAATTAATAATAAAAGTATTAAATTATTTAAAAAACTTTAATTATTTGTTTATTTTAAAATAATTAAAAAAAAACTTTTAAAATTTGCTTAAATATTAAATTTAATTTTTAAAAAAATCTTAAATTAAAATAAATAAATAAAAATAATTATATTTAAAAGTTAAGAGTTAATTAATATTTAAAAAACTTATTTTTCATTATATAATAAAAATAATTAAATAAGTAATAATTATTATAAAGTAATTAAAATAAACTTAAAAAAATTAATTTAATTAACTTAATATTTTTTAATTTTAATAATTATTTAAATTATTATATAAATAATTAAATAAATAAGAAGTTTTATATTAAATATTAAATTAATAATTTTTAATTAATTATAATAATATAGATTTATTTTTAAATAATTTAAAATTAAATAAATATAATTTATTAATATATTAAAATTTTTAATTATTAATTATAATAATAACTTAAATAATAATAAATTTATTTATTTAAATTTAAAGATAATTAAATAAGATAATTTTAAATTTAAAGAATTATTATTAATAAAAATTAATTTTATTAATATAAAACTTAATTTTATTATAAATATTAATATTATTAATTATTTTATTTATTTTAAAAAAAGAATATTATTAAATATTTAAAATAAAATTACTTTAATAAATTAACTTATATATATTTAATATTAAAATATAAAAAGCTTAATAAATTAAGTTTTTATAAATTTATTATAATTTTAATATTAATTAATAATATATAATTAATTAATAATTTAAAATATTATTATAAAATAAATTTATTAAAAATATTTATTTAATATAAAATATAATTTATAATTATAATATAATTTTATAAAAACTTTAATATAAAGAAAAGATTAATAATTAATTTTTAAAATAAGCTTTTAATATTAATTATATAATAATTTATTTAAAATAAAAAGTTAAAAAAAGCTTAATTTATAAAAAAAAAATTATAATTATTAAATATTTTCTTATAAGTTTATAAAAATATATAAAAAGAAATAAAATAAATTAAAAAGTTATTAAATATAAATTTAATAATAATTTAAAATATATAGAAAAATTTAAATAATTTTATACTTATTATTTTATTTTTATATTATATAATATTATAAAAATATAATAATAATATTATTAATTTAAATAAAAAATAATAAT